TTTAAATTTGTCACTTGCCCATTTGATGCACGTGAAAATAATATAACATACAAATGTTAATTTATATGATTTTTTATCATACTATTTTATAGTTCATTCTATAATAATTTAAAATTCTATTATCATCTATATATTTCAATGGTTTTTAAGTTTAATAAATTTTATGATTTTTCAACAATGATATTGTTGACGGTCGTTCCCGCCAGCCTTCCCTGCGGAGGGGGTGGGACCCCCGGTGGGCCATGACCATGCACCGGGGACTCATGGACTTCCACAGTGTTCTGTCCGTAGGGTGAAAACCCATCGTAGGACTCCCTGTGATTTTTGCCCTCCCCAGGACTCGAACCCTGCACCCTGAGTATAAGGTGGGATTCATGACAAGTCCTGGTACCATCACGCCAAATTTCCCACCCCCCTCCGCGGGGAAGGCTGGCGGGAACGACCGTCAACAGATATTTCATAACTTATCTCCCTTGTATATTAATTCAGAACATGTTGAACCTATGTGGCAGCTTCGCATGCTTCGGGATCCTATGTGGCAAAATTACATGTTTCGTTATTAGGCTTGGATAGATTTAATTTACTTCTAATCCAAAAAAATTTAGGTTCGAATTATCTATAAATATATTGATTATTTATGGTAGGGGTGGGCGCGGTCCCGAACGGTCCTGAATTTGACTTGTCTGGATACTCATCCCACTTTTATGAATCGGTCCATGAATGATCCGGGATGAGGCACCGTCCCCAACCATGTAATACATGGGTGTTGTACTAGTTTATATATTTATTCATGAAACCTTTCAAACTAATCACATATATTAACGAATTTTAATTTGACATCATGTTATAATATAATAAAAATATACGTTCCTTTATAGTAAAAATTAAATCCTCTATCAAATATTAATTGAAAAAATAATAAAATTATAAATAAACCAACCTATCAAGTCAATTATATAATTTCATTAAAAATTCTATTATATATAAGTGAGGTAAACCGTATAAAATTAACAAGTATCAATTTAAATATTAATAAAATTATGATCTTACAAAAAAATGTTTGAAACTTATAACCTTTTTATTTTAAATTAATTATATTTTTTTAGTAGCGCTCATATAATACACAAATATTTTTCATTTTAGTTTGTGCTTTATGAAATCCATAACTATACAAAATTCTCACAAATTTTCAATGTTTCCCGCCCAAAATTCGAGCTTATCCCCTTTGAGAAGAGTTTCAGTCATCTTCCCCGTAAATTCCCACACACGCACACACCTCTAAAATTAAATCTTCTTCCTTTATCTCTCTTGACCTCAGTTCACTTCTCTCTCCTCCCTGCAACATCTTCTTCCTTTTCCCCCCAAAAAAAAGCCATGCCTTGATAATCCACTGAGTGCGCTGCCAGACCCCAGCTCACGCGCCGAGCTCAACAAGTCAATTCTACGCGGAGCCCGGCCTGACCCGACCCGAAATCAAATGTGGATGGGTTCGAGCCAGAATCTCAATTGGTGGAGTCGTGCAACGACCCGACCCGACCCGACCCACCACTTTCAAGCTGATCCAGTTATCGTTGAAGAGGAAAATTGAGGAAGGGGTTAATGAATTCAAGTATTCCGTGCCCTTTCTTGTCGGAGCTCCGAAATTGGTAATGGTTTTGTTTGTTGATTCTATCTCTCGTAGTTGAAGATGATTATCTGCACACACTCATAAAATATTGGGGTGTTATATGGTGTTTGCATGGTGAAATTTTGGCTACCTTGAACTGTCTGTTCGATGTTGCTATTTTTATGGGGGTATTATTTTCGATTCTGCTTATGATTGGAGTTAGCTGTTTTCTCTATATGTTTTTGATTAATTAATTACTTATGGTTGGAGTGTCATTTATACTCTTTATCCTTGCGTCATTTTCTTTTAGAATGTTTTATGGCGGATATTGTAAAATTAGTCATCAAAGACTTTGGGTTCTAGAATTATGAACCAACTTCTAAATGATAGGCAATGGCAAGATCAATCTTTAGATATTTGGCCAACTTAGACAATTAAACAATATTGAGTGTATAAATAGATGTCCCAGCCTTACATTGTAGTATGAAAAATGTAATTGAGTCTAAAGAGTATAGAGAGATAAGGTATGTAAAAGAGTAATTTAAGTGTAATAAAAATATGGACTATATTTGAGAGAGTGAGTGTATTAATAATATTAATTGAGAGTGAGTGTATTAATAAGTAGTTACTAAACCAATTCGAAAGATAAACAACTGATCCTTAGATATCAAAATAATGGCTACAGCCATTACCATAATATCAAAATAATATCAAAATAATGGCTACAGCCATTACCATAAATCAAAATAATATCAAAATAATGGCTACAGCCATTACCATAATATCAAAATAATGCTACGGCCATTACCATAATGCAATGCGCTAGGATTTTATGCGCTAGGATTTTTGGATAAGAAGGGTGTTGTTCTCCCCTCACTAAGAAATTGGCTAGGCAAATTCGAAGATTCTTGGATAGGCTTTTATCTGTTTTTATTATCACTAGGAAATTCGTAGATGTTTTACTTTGGATAAGGTGCGGCCTCCCTGTGTCTGTCTGTCGGATTCCCCGCGGCTGATTTTCTTCTATCCGCACGAATCCTCTGTTTCTGCGTGTTCTGGCGTCTTTCTGTGTTGCGGCTCTTTATTCAATCCTCGCAAAAGAAAATTCTTCCAAGTATATATATAATGCATGCGGCTCTGATGCTCTAATTCACTTGGTGCGTAAGCTTTATGACCTTTTGGGCCTAAGAATTATGCTTGATGTCATTAGCAAAAAGGTAGTGCTCCCTTCAGCTCACTTGAAATTTCTTGGATCAAATAATATCACTTTGGGCTTTAGTTATCAATGCATAAAGGCCCAATCGGGCGGGTATGGAGTACTGCTATGTCAGTACGGACGCCCCGTACTGTTTCGATGAAATTTCTTTCAATGCCACGTCGCCACTTAAAATCCTTCAATATCCTAAAAGTAAAATATAAAAATATTATAGGACTCAAATCCATCTAACAAATTAAGCATATAAAAATATACTAATAAATATATAAAATACACGTGGGTCAAAAATTTCGAATGATTTGCTATTGTTGTTTGTTATTCAGACTTCACTATATGAATGAAAAAAAAAAAAAACATATGTTCATGGTGTTACCGTATTTTTCAAGCGAAAATCATTGAATTTGTCATTACATAAATTACAAGTTTCTAGCTTTTAAGATGTTTAAAGTCTAGTGTGTTTGTAAAGCGAATGGTTTAGCGCGGAATAGAGGCATCTCAGCCTAACTGGCTTCAAATTCTGGCATAAACTTAGCATTTCTTGCATATCTCCATTTTTAATTCTATATCGATTTCTGCATTGGTTAGGCCTTTTTGTTTCAAACACAGGTTTTTATGTTACAACTTTCCTCATCAATGCAGATTTTATATTGAATACATAGTGCTTTCAGTGTATTAGGAAGGTAGAGTATCTAATGTTTTTTCAGATAACTTAATCAGCAGCATCAAACAAACAGGGACTCTGTAAAGGGACCCTCAGCCTCTCTGTTAATAACTTTGGCAACACTTCAATTTGGTATTTAGTGTGTTATGATATCTCCACATTCACAAATAGATTGTTTTTCTTTCTTTCTATCAGCATAATTGATTCTTATTATTTTTGCTGCAAAACTCGAGTTTAGAGCGTGTGCCCGTTGTAAGTTTCGAGTATAATAGGATGGCGGTATATAAAGAGGTGAAAGAACCACATCTGATTTTTTGTCATGCAAGTTTTGTTGGGCCATGAATAGTTATACATAGCAGGGCCCAAATTTAGTATGGTCTATTTGTTGGGCCATGAAAGGCTTCATAAATGAAAAGTAGGTAACTGGGCCAAGTTCCATTATTCGATTATTTGCAATTTTACCCACTTCACCAGTCTCTCTCTGTAAATCATTCAAACTTAAGCATGCAAATGCTTAAAACAAAAGAAGATTAACCTCTCAGCATCGTCACTTTTCTTGCATGAATAATATTATCACGTTTCCTTTTCCCTTCAGAAAGGAAGTATATCTATACTCTACACAACAAAATTCTACACAAATTAACCTCAACATGATATTCAATAACCACCACCAAGTAGTTTCCAATCTCCAATTTTGATTTATATACATCTATTANGACAAGCCTTGTGTAAATTCGTGTCATTTTTTCTTCATATAAACGCACGTTATGCAAGGTGCATTTTTGGAAAGTTGGCATTGCCTAACTTTGTGGTTTAAATAGTTGTAACATGTTGAATCGAACCAAATTTTTGTTCGATTTTTTATGAGATGGTTTTTAGAGACGAATTGAACCAGGATTCAGACTCGTGGTGAAACAGGTAAAGTTATTTATTCAGAATGCAATGACTAATTTACTCCCATTGTCAGAAAAAAAGAAGAACTTAGAAATATATGCATAAGCATAATGTGGTTTCTTCTTTACCCTTTCATTACTAAATTGTTACCAATTGCTTTTGCACTTTCTTTCTAAAGTTGGATGTTTGGTTTAATAAATCCAAACAGCCTGCTTTCACAGTTTGACTGTTGTGAGTTGGAAAGGTTGGTGGTTCAATTGCCATTCCTAATTGAAATAAAATGAATAGGGATTTAAAAAAAAAAAAAAAAAAAACTGAGGGTGAGGTGAAGATATGTATGTGTGGCTTTTTATAGCCCATACTATAGTAGCATCCATTTATAGCATGTTATTTGACTCTTTGTCAAAATCTTAATGATGAGATGATGGATATGGTGAACATGAGTTCATGACACAAATTTTATTGTACATGCTTCAACAACTTAAAAAACCCTCTACTTTCATTAATTAGATTAACAAAATTATTTTAAATAGTAATTGTATATTAATTAATCTTCCTTTTTATGTGCTTTATATTATAAATTAGCAAATATTCAAAATCTCCTTCAAGAGTACATTTTAATTACAAGTGGACATTCATGCAAGATCATTAAACCTAGCTGCAAAATTAACAGATGGTAGATAGGTTAATATCAAACTAATTAATTGGATAATATATGATGGGATGATTGAAAAACTAGATTTGACATAATAAAAATGTTAGTTATTAGCTTTAATTCAGCCGAAGTAATTTTTTTTTTTTTTAATTCTATGTAAAGTAATACTTAAAATAAGTTTGGTTTTTAAAAAGTCATCATACCAAATTAAACTTATTTAAATATACAAATTATAAAGTAACTAAATACTGTGAATTAATTTATGGCGCTTATGGAAGTTTACAAAAGTCAAAGTTAATTACTTTATTCGTTGTATTGCTTGTATTTCAATAAAACTAACAAGACTCGTGGATTAATTAAAACTTTTATCTCCAAAATAATTCTCCAAACACAATAAAATATATTTAACCTTTGTTTGTGATATCAGCACTTATGAATTCATCAATTGACAAAAAAGATTCATCAAATTAATTATATATTTTTAGGTGGCAAATAAGCATTATTTACAAAAGAATATGCTTATAATATAATATAAGCAGTCAAGATCTTGACACTCCTCTAGTCTGTGCAGTAAAGTTGAGAAATATAATAGAGAAGATAAAATGATAAATAAAATAAGAAAAAACAAAAAACCTGACTGCTACCATAAAAGTGTAAAGATATTAACAGTGCTTTTGCCTTTACAAAAGCTATATATGCCCACTGACTTAGCCCTAAGCCAAGCTAGAGTACTTACAAGATAAGATAAATAGACCTAATTCACACTCAACCTGTTATACCACAAATACTTGAACCACTCGACCGCTCCTCTCGAACCGAATTGAACCTTCTCGATCGCCGGTACCTGCAAAACACGCCGGGGGTGGTCCCGGCGTGAACACTCCGACGCTCAAGTCAGTGGTGGTGTTTTGGAGAGAAAACGGCAAAGTAACAAGACAATATGTGTATGTGTGTTATGTAAAATGAATAAACCTGTCCCCTTTTATAGATGAGGTCTTGTACATGTCGTAGAGTTCTTGTTGGTCTAGAAGTCTTTTCCTCATACTTATCCGCAAATTAGGTCAAAGATGCCCAGAACGTCAGAGTCCTTATTACTACAACCTTTCACGTGAGGTGCCCTCGGCAGAACCCTCTGGCCGAGCTGCCCAAGTGCCGAGGTGTCCAGCTGCCTAAGTGATCCCGCCTACCCAGCACATGACTCCTTGGTATGCCGCCTAGCCAGTCTTCCCATCATAACGATGACGACCGAATCAGACCGGTCTGAGGCGAACCCTTACCAATGGCCATATCACAACCCATGAAAAAAAAAATAATAATAATAATAATAAGAAGAAGAAAAAGAAATGTAAAAATTAAAATTAAAAACATACACATGACAGTGTACATTGTACAATGTGCAGACATGCTTAAGACGAGTCGATTCTATGGGTAACTGCACTATAATTATTGAGTTTTTTATTGTTTGATAAACTTATAAAAAAATTTAGTGACTACACTACAATTATTCGTAGGTTGAAATTAAATATATGATTCACAATTATTCTTAAGTACTATTATTTTTTATTTTTAATTTTTAAAATCAACATCCCAGGGTGGGGGTTAAGGCCGAACCTCCAACCTGTATATAAAATGCCCAAAATGGGTCGAAAAGTCACAAAGCTACAAGTCCAATGTCTGATATACATTCAGTCTACGAAAAATAAAAAAAACAACAAAGAAAAGAAAAAATACAAAGCTAACAACTGCAGCGATAAATATGAAAATAATAGATCATGTTCCGAGGTAGGATCCCGGCTAGAAAGTCAGCATCAGAGTGTGGCGGGTGTGCCAAAAGATAGGTCCGGCTACACAAATCTGAATGAGGAGTATCCCATCTGGTCCATCCGTATGAGGGTGCGGAGGCGGATAGGAATATCGTCAGGGTAAAGAATGCGTCTGTGGGGGGCGGAGGACCCGATGCCAGCGAGGAAGTCAGCTGGCCGGTTCCCCTCGCGGAAGATGTGCGAGATCCGAGAGCGAATCGTTTGGAGAATGGCTCTGATGCGCATGAGAGGGTGTTGGATCTACCACGTGCCCTGCTGTCCAGATGACAGAAGAGTGATGACAGCGGCCGCGTCCAACTCTATCCAAATATGAGAGGAGATCGAGGCGGCAATCTGCAGCCCGATCTGAAGCGCCTGAATCTCCGCGTCGTAGCTCGAAGAGGCCCGAAGAGAGGCATGAAACGCGGTAATAAGGGCGCTCCTATGATCCCTAATCAGGCCCCCACCTCCTGCAACTCCAGTAAGTCGATCAAAGCTCCATCAGTGTTTAGTTTAACCTAAGGCGACTCGGGTTTCAGCCAAACAACAACTCTGGGACGTGGATGCTGGACAGGCACCAGCGGAGGTGGTGCAAAGCGGTGAGGTGGTGTGCAACCTGTCCAGTCTCTCTGAGTGAGTCTGCGCAAAGTGGTGAGGAGGGAGAGATGTCGGTCAACCTGCAAAGTAATATGAGAAGACAAAAAAGGGTATCCCTATGCTTCGCATTATTCCTTTCTGTCCAGATGGCTCAAATGATCAGACAATGAATAAGGAAGCTCACGTGTCTAATGTGTGTGCGGTGTCTGAAAAAACTCAGAAGCTCAAAGAGTGTATCTGTGGAGGGTAGGGGGATATGAGTATAACTGGTATAATGGTCCCACACTCTCCTCACAGACTCGCTCTCTAAAGAAAGATGGGTATAGGTCTCTGTCTGAAAATCGCCAGACTCGGCACAACAGTAGCAACACGAGGGGAAAGAGAACCCCCTCGTCTGCATAACAGTGTCAATCGGTAGACGGCGCAAAAGGAGGCGCCAAAGGAAAATAGAGATGGTAGGGATAAGTAGTTCGGACCAGATGGCCCCTCCGGAACCCAGAATCCTCTCTAGCCTATCCCTATCTTATCTCTCCTCTGTCCACAGGTCCTTCACCTGTAGAAAGGGAAGGTGAGTGACCTGTCTAATGCTCGAAAGGGGACCCTCACTGAACCACCACTCATCCCAAAAGCTAACCTCCCCATCCCCCAGAGACCAAAAAATGTGCTCCTGAGCACGTCTACCAACCATGGTGAGCCGCCTCCACTGTCTGCTATCGCGGGCGGTAGCCGTCACCCTACAGGGATGGGCAGCACCTCCAGGGCAGTACTTCCGGCGAAGATACTGCGCCCAAAGTGACTTACCCTCCCTAAATCGCCACCACATTTTGTAAGAAAATGCAGTGACGACATCCGAGAAACGCAGGATCCCGAGACCCCCCTCAGATAATGGCCGACATACAGAGTCCCACTTCACCCAATGGACCTGTCTCCCTGTCCGGAAGCCCTCCCCATGCCCCCAAAAATAACGTGCCAGAATCTGATCTAGCTCGTGGATAGTAGACTGGTGGAGATCAAGGACCGTAAGGAGGTGAAGCGGTAGGGTGCTGAGGGTGCTCTTGATCAGAGCGAGTCGGCCCCAAAAGATAGGTTTTTGTGAGAACAACCGGAGATCTGGTCACTCATCCTCTGTCTAACGTCACAAAAAAGCTCACGCGTGAGGTGACCCTTGTACAAGGGGGCACCAAGGTAGGTGATGGGGAGGTCTCCGCGTGCGAAACCAGTGCGCTCGTGGACCCAATGGTCCCACTGGTCAACAATATGCAGATCAAGGGTGAAGGTGCTCTTTTGCACATTGACAAGCTGACCGGATACCGAGCTATAGTGCCTAGGAGGCGCATGAGCTCAGTCAGTCCATTATTATCCGCACGAGTGAAGATAATAATGTCATCCGTATAAGATAGGTGCAAGATGGGAGGACCGTACCCACACGTGCTATAGGTCATCCTCGGGAAGTCGCGAATGAAGCCGTCAAGGCAACGAGACAGGTAATTCGCTGCCAAGACAAAAAGAGAGGGGGATAGAGGATCTCCCTACCAGAAACCTCGGGTGGAAGGAAAGAAGTCAGTTGGGCTACCATTAAGAAGAACCAAGAACGTGCAGTGCTATATTATTCTTTATTCTTTGGTTGGTGCTATTTGATGATTTAGATATGAGATATTAATGTACAATGTTTGAAAATCTATCTCTAGCTACTTCAAAATGGTTGGTGCTATATTATTCTTTATTCTTTGGTTTGTTAAATCTTTTTTTCCCTATGAAATAATTTATTTAATTTAATTCCTTTATTTTATTTTTCTTATTGTAATTTTCAATTGATGCATTGAATAGTTCATGAGGCATTTAACATGTTCAAGCAGGACTTTTCTTTTCTCTTTGGAAAATAATTAATATCACTTTCATTGTTTTGGCAGTAGATTATTATAAGGGCAGTAGGGCACTAGCTAAAATCTCACATACAACATTAATTGGCAGAAAATAAATTCAAATGTTGAGAAAGTACAACTAAATGTACACACTATAAGTCCATAAGTTTTTCTCACGTTCTCTGTTTTTTGCTGTGTTTTCCTCTTTTCTGTTTTTTTTTTCTTGGGGTCCTTTTTTCTATTTAATTTTCAGATAGGGGCCTTTTCCTCGGGATATTGCATATTTGCATCACAGCTTTCTTTGATTCATTTTTTGGTCCTTGGAGTTTTGCGCCTTGCATTTTTGTTCCAGAGGTAATTTTCTCTCTTTTAATCAATGTTAATTCTCTAAATTTCTATTTCTCTCTTCATTCCTATGATGATTATATTTATTCTACATATAAATTTTTATTATAGTTATTTATTCTATATATTTGCTTTTGTATTTGTGAATTATTATATTAATTAATATTTGAGGATTCAAAAGTACTTATTTAAAATGAAAGAGACTCAAATAAAATCAGACAAAAGCAAAGATATTGGAATTGCTGCCTGTTTTGGTCAGCTAAGTCAGGAACTTTCCCTTTAAAAGCTGCTGTTTTATTATTTTTTCCTTCCATTCTTTTTTTCTTTACCCTACTGAAATATTTCCCTTTTGAAAACAATATTCAAAGACATATATGTCTGACCCAAGAAATTGTAGGGGCCAATGACTTAAACTAGTCGAGTTGAGCCCAGCTCATATTATACTCGAACTCGTGCTCGAGCTCTTATCAAACCAAACCGATAGCATGCTCAAGTTTAATTCACGGACTTTAACGAGTAGAATTATACTAAAAGATTAGAAAAGTACTTAAAATTTTGAACCTTAACTAGTCAATCTCAACTCGTTTGAGCTTTAATAACTAGTCAAACTCAACTCGTTATTGAGTCTTAACGAGCCGAACACACTAATAGCTAGTTTATCATAGTTCATAGATTGTATTTCCTAAATTTTTAAAGTCTAAACAAAGGAAATTAATTACTGTTGACATAAGAATTTGCGCTGTAGCTACATAAATACATACATACATACAAACAAATTTGTATAATAAAATTTTATTTTTGTGAAAAAAAAGGTACAAATTTAATTTATTTGGCCTGATTATGTTGAGACACATGACTAGTGTGTGTAGACAGACAGTATACAGATAACATATCAAAATACACACACACACGTTATTTTTATGCCTTCACAGTTTTTAACTTTTTCAGTAATAATGATAACTCAATCTTAAACAAAGTACCACTAGCAAAACCCCACATTATAAATGCTACGCTTTTCCAATTTTGTTTCATGAATTTGGTGTGCTTTCAGCATGGTGGTTATAATGAAGAAGCGGGTTTTGCTCCGACCACCGGCGGCGGACGGGCGGCGGCGCCGGCAAGTGAAGACTTTCCTAGATCCGCCGCGTGAAGATAATTTTGGAGGCAAAATGGTGGTGGGTTTTTTTTTCAGGCTATTTTTTCAGTTGGGTTGTCTTCAAAATCGAGTCTTTTTAAGTGGGGCTTAGGTAGTTTTGGCTTTTCTGCTGCGGTGGAGTCTAGCGGCGGTGTGGCGGACGTGTAGTGATATTGGCGGGACGGCTCAATCTTATGATATTTCTGCTAATTNTGGTGCCTTTGGATTTTGGAGTTTGATTATTTCTGCTAATTTTTCCCTTCACTCGGTTCTAAATTTCTAGCTAATTGTTAATTAATACATATTTGATATTTTCATGGAATCCTTTTTATAGATTTTTTTTTTCCTTTGCATATCTTGGGTATGTTTCTCACGATGTTCTTACAATTCTTATGCTGTTGCATTATTATAACTAAAAAAAATAAAAATACAGAATTTACTCAACAGCTTATGAAGAATAATTACCTCCTATTATTATTATTATTATTATTATTACAAAACGTGTATGATTCATTTTAACCAAATTGTGAGCTGTTGTAAGAGCCTTACCATGTTCGTTCTTTAGTTCTTCTGCAAACATCCACTTGACTGCATATATTGGCTTATATAGAATTGATTAAAATTATTGGACTCACATTTGACTAACACACCACTAGCTGACTGTTAATTAGGTCCACGTGTCATTTCTTTAACAAAAAAAATATATATATATATATTTATATATTATAAAATGTCACATTTTTATATATATTTTTTAAAATATGACATTTCACTTGGAAAATACCATATATGTTAGCAAAAGTATTGACTGGTACCAGCATACAAACTCTTTGACTAATTGAAGGTACTCTTGTTATCAAAATTAGTTCTACTGTTGAAGAAAGAAATTTGAGAAACAATTGATGGGATCTCATATTACATCCTTGTTCAAATTCTGTATTTACCTTAGGTTTTCAATATAAGAAAGTTGTCTTAATTTCTTTGTAGTATTAATAATGATTCTTTCTTTCTTTCATTTTTTCTTTTAAAAGGGGTAATGAATCATGATTGTATAATAATGGATATGTTGAGATGATGTTGTTAGAGCTCTTACAAACTCCAATCATTATTCTTCTCTCCTTTTCAAATTCCATATGATTGCATTTGCAAGTGCAGACGCTGGTTAAAAGAGTGGAGCTTCTTATGTTTTTTTCTTTTTTTATAGCTTAAAAAGCTTCTTATACTTAATTGCACAAATGAGGTGGTGAAGCGTCCAATGACTACTCCAATCCATCATATTTTTTTGAATAAATATAAATTTTATGTTCACAATTAGGCGAGTCAAGTCTAAAATACTTTTCCAACAAGTGTACTTGCTTATATTGTAAAATATATAGTTTTGTTTATGTTATTCAAAGTACATCACTTGTGCATGAATGTTTATATATACTATGAAAAAATTATAATTGTTTAACTATGTTTGTTAGATAGACCTAAGGTTTGACAAATATAACACATAGTATGGCTTTCATCCATAGTTTTCAACCCGGATCGGCTCGGTGGGTCGACCTAGGCATCAACACGGCCAGGTTAACCCGATTTAACCGGATCACTATATTTTTCAGTAAAAAAATATTTATGATTTATAAGATAGATATTTATTATAATATGTAATATTATTAACACTTTGATGTACAAAATTTATATTCAAAACATTATATATATATAATTTCAATTTTGTTTTAAAAAATTAATTATCCAGTTCAACAATTGACTCAATAAACCGACAATTGAACCAATCATTCGGTGGCCCGGAGGCCTATCCGAGTCAATTCTTAGGCCGGGTTCAAAAACTATGATTTTAATATGAAATTTCACACTTTAAAAACCAATATGAACAAAACTATGGCTTTTCGGTTAAAAACTAGGACGACAAGTCTGCTAAACATCAATCAGTATATATACTTAATTAATTTTTGAACAAAACGTCAGATGTCCTTCAAATTTCCTTATGAAAACCAAATATACACATAAAACACAAACTAAAGTACAGATTAAGATGCCTTATATATATCAAAACACAATTCCACCAGCTGTAGCATCTAATTGGCACATTCTGGTTTGTGGGCCCCAAAGGTAATTGGGCCCCAAGGAACAGTACTCTTGGCCCTTGGTGTTGTCTTATTCAACTTCCAATTTTCATTTTGCCTTAAATTTCTAATAGCCAAAAGGAACAGTTGTTTGGTGGGTGGTAGCAAACTACACATTGTTTTGTACACAGAAAATAATAATCATAGGACAAATTTCGGTGGTCTCCAATATGCACAGAGATATGTGTATTGTAAGAGACATATGAGGCTCAACTGATATCCATTTATCTAGGCAGCCATCCATCTTACTAAAACAGAATTTACATAAACACAAAAAACGAAACANNNNAAAAAAAAAAAAGGATAATAAGAATAAAAATAAAGAAGAATTTACATAAACCAATCAAAAATAGATTACACCAAGATTTCGTCACAAAGTTTATCATCGAAGTGAGATTACATAAACTCTATATTTTCATCTTCATCGCTACTCAATGATCATAAAAGCAAAAACTGGGAGAATTCATGTAACTTGGAGTAAAAACAAGAGAGATTTGTGCATTGATTGAATGGGTTTTTTTAGGCTTGATCGGTTACAAAAGGGAATATGAAATAATTAGCTAGGTTTTAAAATTATACGTATGCACTTAGAAGAAGTAAAGTGGAGAACAAAACAAATAGAGAAAACTGAATGTGAGGGGAAAACAGCAGTTGCGAAACCTTCAAAAAGAATTCGTTGAAATTGCAAAAAAATGGGGTCTAGATTCAAACAAGTCAAGTGAGTCGACTCATAATTAAATCAATGCATACAAAGTCGCCTACAAAACTCGTAAGCTTCAATTTACATCCCTAACTTGGACGACTTAATAAAGTCTTCCTCCGACTCGGTATATCTCACGAGTCAGCTCATTCTACTCCCTTACTTATAAAGCATTGTATCAGCCTACTCAAAGATTAAACAACACCGAGCAAGGGAGAACAATACCGGCAATAAGAAATAGAGACAAGTACAGCATATCTTTGAAACCACTCGTGTGAATTAGTGTAAGAATCAATTGTATATCAAAGACCAAAAATTCAGTTGATTGATCATGTCAAGTTAGGACTTGAACTAACTAGCATTATGAGATTGACCCTGATTGGAAAGAGTTTCATTTTACATTCACAATGCATTCAGAGAATGTTGACACAAGTTTCCATATGTCCGTTCACCAGAATAAATCATTTCCTTCCCATTTGATAGAAAAGAAAAAAAAAAAAAAAANAAAAAAAAAAAAAAAAAAGATTTGAGTACGGTTACATGTCACGACCAGAGGTTTACAACAAAGACGATGTGGTTACCAACATGTTCCAGAGCAAATATGAAGGGTTGGTTACAGGAGATTTACACTATTAAAGCTAACAATTTCTATCTGGCCTATCAAACTCGTTGACTTCATGAAAAGTAAGTAACCTCTAAGTTAAACTGCGTTTTTTTGTTATAGATGCAAAATAGACACGTTAACTTGTATGCAGGGAATGCTCTCATCAGCTTAACTCACAACCAATATCAGTTGTTTTAGTTTACAATGGTAAAGGAAATAATTTTTCCTTTTTCGTCAGCCGAATAATTTTGGGTCACACAACAATCATTTCCTTCAAATACTTAGCACCCATAAGCTAACATCATCAAGTAATTTTATAGCCAGTTAACAACAATTGCAAATCCATTATATAAGAAATCAGCAATTAATGTCACAACATAACATGTCCAACTTAATCATATGACCCTTCAGAACTCATAGAAAAGACAAAATCGCCTATATTAGACAATTGCACTCTCATAGTCCCAGCAATAACCCACCACCATATCTATCTCAAATGATAAAATCACAATCTCATACTCTTACAAGTATAGCACAACAGAATTATCGACTCCAAGGTAAATCCAAACAAATGCATTAACAATATAACTCCGAAAAACTCACCTGATTATCGTCATTGCTTCCCGACAACATTCTCCAAATACCACTTATAAGTACCTTCAAGCCCATCCTTGAGAGAAATCTTGGGCTCCCATCCCAAGCCTGCAAGCTTAGAGCTATCCATGAGCTTCCTAGGCGTACCATCAGGCTTGCTCGAGTCCCAAACAATCTCCCCATTATACCCAACCACCTCCTTAACAAGCTCAGCAAGCTCTTTAATGGTAACCTCCTTTCCACTCCCCACATTCACATGCTCCAAACCACTGTAATTCTCCAATAGAAAAACGACGGCGTCAGCCAGGTCATCGACGTGCAAGAACTCGCGCAGTGGGGTCCCACTCCCCCAAACCACCACCCTCTCAGCGCCATTGGCTTTGGCCTCGTGAAACCTGCGCAGCAGGGCCGGCAGGACGTGTGAGTTCTGTGGGTGGAAATTGTCGTTGGGGCCGTAGAGGTTGGTGGGCATGGCGGAGATGGCGTCGAACGAGTGCTGGAGGCGGTAGGCCTGGCACATCTTGATCCCGGAGATCTTGGCGATGGCGTACCACTCGTTGGTGGGCTCGAGCGGGCCGGTGAGGAGGGCGGACTCGGGTATGGGCTGCGGGGCGAATTTGGGGTAGATGCAGGAGGATCCGAGGAAGAGGAGCTTTACGGTTTGGTGCCGGAATGCGGAGAAGATGACGTTGGTCTGGATCTGGAGGTTGACGGTGATGAAATCGGCGGGATAGGTGTTGTTGGCGTGGATGCCGCCAACCTTCGCGGCGGCGAGGACGACGTAGCGGGGCCGGTGGGCGGCGAAGAACTCGTCGACGGCGGGTTGGGAAGTGAGGTCGAGCTCGGCGTGGGTGCGGAGGAGTAGATTGGTGTAGCCGAGGGATCTGAGCCTGCGGACGACAGCGGAGCCAACCAGGCCGCGGTGGCCGGCGACGAAGACGACGGCGGATTTGTCGGTTGGAGCTGGATCCATTGGCGGTGGCGCGTGGTGTTCAGGAGGGAGAGTTGGGTGAAATTGAGATAACAAACTATTCTTTTTTAACAAAAACGTTAATTGCAAATAAAAATCCAATTTACTTATAAAATCTATCTATTTTAATGTTTATCTCTCTCTTTCTTATATTATTATAATAATGAAAAATGCTACAATCCCGTTACGGAACCATTTTATGAAGATTTGTAACCGTTAGATCATCATGTAACCGTCGTGAATAGTTGATCAAGATAGTTCCGTAACAGAACTATAGAATCTCTCTATAATATTATAAGGGTGCACTTGTTAGGGTGGACTAAACAAGATAATTTTATTATGTCTACCAAGTTTGCATTGTATACATGTAATGCACTCTTTGCTTAGTGTATGATTTGACAAGTGATAAGATTTTGTGGATATAATGTTAATGCATTTGTTGTCTTAGACAAATGATAGGATAAATAGTGCATTTTCCAATTTACCCTCTAAAAATGTTAAATTTTCCTCTTTAGAACTTCTAGACGAAACAATCAAAGGTGGCGACGAGAAGTGCCGAAAAAGCGGCGAAGGTGGCGGCGACGACTGTTCGTACAACCGGTCAGAGGTGCTTAGGCAGGAGAGGTTATTGAGGGCAAGTATGTAATTTCTCAACTTTTCTACTATAACACAACATATCTTATCTCCACAAGCGGACAGATCAAATTGTCCTAAAAAATCACGATTTTTCTACTGTGCACAGCGCGATAAATGATGGATTGAGGGCATAATCCAATCCTGTTCCGGTTAACAAACATGCTCTAACACTATGGGAGAACATTAGTTTTCCTTAAACATGAGGAATGATATAAATTAATACGAGGCTGAATGATAAAATATAAGGCTAGTATTCATTATAGCCAAAAGAACCCAAACTGAACAAGACCATATGAAGCTATACAAAGATAATACGACGTGGTTTAGAAAATAGCGAGCGAACTATCCACATGTTAGATAGGGAAGGTAATTGCTTTTCTTATTTACAGACATAAGAGTATGTATAGATAAATTCTGCCTAAATTAAAAGTTTTCAGGTTAGTTGTTTATAAAGTTGGGAATCATTCATTATTGGACTATTCTATGAACTTTATTCGACAAAATTGAAAGGAAACAAAAAAAATTTCACAAATATCTTCAATTTGACTAAAATGTTCAAAAGAAGATGCCCCTTTTACCGAAACAACAGGGGAATTTCAATTTTTGTATTTCTACATTGACTAATGCACAAATGCACAAATGGAAGAATAAACTAAAATTTAAACATACCCACAAATTTGCTATATACATCTCTCTCTCTCTCTCTCTCTCAATTGGGCTTGCTTTGCATAAAACTTTCTCTTTTACTAGAGAATGATGAACCCCTTGTGGCCTTTTTTGTGATTATGGGCTTAGGTAGAGTAAAAGACTTGCAGCTATGCAAACCAGTCCCAATGCTCTTAGAAGCCTTCAAATTCCTTCTATATGGAGTTGCTTTCTTAGCCAAATCCTCAATGCTTGTCACCCTTGAAAGTGATGTGAAAGACTCTGATTTCCCCTTGTAAAATTTTGATAGCCCTCTTCTACAAATAACACAAGTTGAGTTCCCAATTTTAACTTACAAAAGATGATTTTAGGCTAAAATCAAGATTTTCACTTACTTGATAGGCAATTCTTCCATTATTTCTGACAGGTCATACAAAGCTCGGCTCGAATTCGCACAGAAAGACGATGATGACGATGATGCATCATCCGCCACATCTGACGAGGATATCGATGATCCATTTGAGACCGTCGATTCTTGCCCAATAGATGAAATGGATGATGATGGTGAACAATTTTCATCATAATCAATAACGTTCATGGTGAAACCATGAAGCTTCAATTCTCCCATATTATTGATTATCATGTAATAACAAAAATGAAATCAAGAAATTATCCTATATATATCTCAAAAATAAAATGCACATAGACATACATAATTTTTTTGGGTTCAAGCTAAAGATACATTTATATAATGGAAGCATGCAGAAAATGAAATGAAAAATTAATAATTGAAATAAAATAAAAGTTAAAAAAAAAAATGAGTGGACGAGGCAAGTTGTTTGGTGAACAATGAGCTGCTTTATCAGTAAGCATCATCACAATAGGGTGCATGAGATTTCTATCCTTTCAGGGGGCGGGAAGGCGACACGTGTGCGAAAACAACGGGTCGAACCGAAAACGAGCATCCATTGGATAAAGTATACACGTCGTGAAGACACGTGTCGGCCAGTTGTGTGGTTGTTGCATGGTTTGTTTGGTGCAACTGAGTGTCAAATTAGAGAGGCCTCAATTTTTGTTTTTATTTATTTATTTTTGTAATAATTGTCGGGCACAATTTATTGGGCTTTACTTTTTTGTGCCTTATCCTTGGATTCGACATTATCTTGTCATATGGTTTGAATTGAATATTTCAAATTTTCAATTCATGGAATTTGGCCTACTTTAAGAAGATAAGTTCCTAGTCACCATCTAATCCCTACCATATAATATTATATTAAATTAACAAATTAAAGAGGAAATTGGAATTTGAAACACATTTTTTGTGAGAAAATAAATTTGTGATTATTATATTTGAATTAATCATTATTGGAATGTAAGACATGTTTTGTGAGGAAATAAATTGGTGAACGTATAGAAACCAAAAAACATGGGAAGAATCAAATGAAATATTATTTTATTGCCTTTGTTTTCAATATGTTCACAAGAAGAAGGGAATACATTTTTTGTAAGGAGTGAATGGGAGAAAAAAATACGAATTTTAAGGTAAATAAAATGATGGAATATAAGGTAAATAATTGAATTATAATGTTTTTTAGATATATACCCAAAGAAAGTTTAATAATTTATCATTGTTCTAGTGATCACTATTGATTCCAAATGACATCATTTTTGTTCAACTTGATGTAACCGTTAGTGCAATTCAATTGGTGCTAAATTAGTGAAGGGGGACTTCATTAATAGGTTTTACCAATTAAATTCGCTAATTTAGCTTGTTTAGTAACATAATTATTTGATATTTCTCGTTTTTTATTCGAATGCTAATTATAAAAAAAAATCCAAAGAGAAAAGTTCTGAGAAGAGAGCTCAAGTACTACCTAACCATTTTATTTAATAAACGTCTATTTAATAGAACACTAATTGAAGAGTGCATCACTACTCTTTTGGGGATTAAGATGATTGCCAACAATCTTCCTTTTGTAAATAGTCACTTTTTGCTATTTCAAGATTGTCATTTTATGTCGGCAGGGGCACGAGGAAATTTCGAATTAATAGCTCGATCAAGGAAAAAAATGCACGAGTCATGACACGTGTTGCTGACTCATATTCAAACTTATCGCGAACCAGAAACATCGCAGTTTCCTGGCTGGAGACAACCCCTTTTTTTTTCAATTTTTTTTATATCAATATCTATATTTTTCTGATATTTATATCTATATTAATTATATTGATATTAATGAAATATATTGAAATCGTATCAAAGTTAGAATGAAATTTTGAATATGAATCAGAGACGGATTTAGATGGGGCCCAGGCCCCCCTGATTTTTTTAAGTTAATATTATATATATATACGCATAGGTATATATGAAGAAAATACTATAAAATATGTATAATAATGCAAAACAAATTATAATATATTAATAATTAAAACTTATTTTTTATGTTATTTTAATTTAAATTAATAATATTATTTATTTATAAAAAAATATGGTAACAATTCTTATATTTTATATTTGTAGATAAATTTTTAAAATTATTTATAATGATTTACTCTTTCAGTCTTTTCATTGTAAATCGATTTAATGATTTATAAAATTGAGTTTTTAGTTTTGTTGTTACATTTTTTAATGTTGATTTTTTTTGTGTAATCACATATTTTTGACTTAATTATTTTAATTTTAAACAAATGTTTATTTAATAAGCTCTCATCAACAAAAATATTATGCATTGTGCTTCAAAAGTTCAATTTAAATCAATTTTTCAACCAAAAATACTTATTTTTTTTATAAATTATAGACGTTAAACTTAAATTATAAATACATGAAATCTCGTCTTTTTTATTTTTTTTTTGAGATTGTTATTTTTCTTGTAAGTTTGAGGTTGATACAGATTCTAAGTATTTAAAAATTGATGGTAAACATGTCTATATTTATATTTATACTAAACACATTTTTATATGAAATAAGTGTTTTGACTTAAACTATAAGCTCGTTATTTAACATTTAAAATCGAACCCTCCTAAATAAAATTCCTAAATCCGTCGCTGATATGAATTAAGTTTGTATATAAACAAACACACTCTAAGTAGTTCAAATCGAAACATTTTGGAAATGTATGGGCTAAAATAGTTTGATGGAGCTCAATAAGGATTTGCTTGATAATTTTTTTCTTTATTAGTAGAATCTCTGATTATTGGATATAGTTTGTATTTTGCATTGAATTTAAAGTGAAGATTTAGGTGGTCATAACAGACTATGGTTTGTATTTTGTTAAAATTTCTCACTCGAAGATGCTGTCCTTTTATTGATGTGATTGCTAATATTTCTAAATGACCGATTATTTGTGTTGGAAGATAATCTTCTTATATTTTTTTCTTCTCATATTTTTTCTTCCTGTATTTTTATCATATTTCCTTTGTAATGTGTTTTTTGGTTGAACGCAAAGTTAATTATTATAAAAAAATAGTTATTTGAGTTATTATAAAAAAAATAATTATTGAATATCTTAGATCAATGGAAATTATTGAAAATCGGAACATTGTGCAGTTGGCCAAAAGATGAATTAGATGTGTATGACACTTGAAATTGTTAATCAATGAAGTGTATGACACTTGAATTTAGTAGTTTAAACGTTGCAAATTACAATGAATTAGATGGATGTTAAATTATAACGAAATTAGAGGGATGTTCAATTTAATTGTTGAGCTAGATTATAGTGAGTGTATGAATAGCCTAATCGAATTTAGAAATCACTGATTTTTCACTACAATCCATAGTGTCTCACTGAAATTAAAA